TTAACATTGCAAAAATTTTATTATACAAATGGAAATGGAATGGAAATAAAATGGAAAAGATAAATTGGTACTGCACAATTCAAGATATTTTTCTGTGTTGGCAGATTTCTGTTTTATTCAAGTTCCATTTTAGACAGGTTTCACTGTATAATACAATTTTTGCAATGTTAATTTGTTTCTTTACTTTTGATATGTTATGCTATACAGTAATACCCCGACTTACGCTACCCTGACTTACACGAACCCGGAGTTACGCGATTTTCAAATCTCGTTGATTCGTCTTTTGTTTGAGCGCCATGCAACTTTTGATTACTCACTCCCCCCACACTATTGTTCATCTTACATGTTCGGACATGTCGCGCGGAATCCACACATAGCTACAATTTATTTTGTGTTATTTATTTCTGTGTTTGTTATATCTACGGAGACTTGAGAGACTCTATGTGGTGATTTCTTGTAACCGTGAATGAATCAAAAGACGAGATAAGATTAACGAGAACATTTATTAGCTTACATACATCCGACTTGGATTTTACACAAATTGCAAAATTATACCCTGACTTACGCAAATTCGACTTACGCAGTTATCACTTGATCCCACCTATCGCGTAAGTTCGGGGTATTACTGTATATAGATACATGCTACAGTTAATTTCTACTTGATAATTGCACAATTTATTCACAACAGTTTAATATAGCATTAATTCAATTGCAATCCAATCCAGAAACTAACTAATTGCCAGTTAAAAAATTATCATTGTATAAAATTGATGTTACTTTAGCTGTATCTGAATATAAATTTACTTTTTCTGAAACCAATCTTATCATTTTGGAAAATAATTTTACATTTTCTAAAAATCATTTTACCTTTCCTGAAATAGAATTTATTTTATCTGAAACTGAAATTGAAAAAGTGCAGCTTTTATAAGTTAAAAATTTTAAGTTGTGCAGAATAGTGTTGTAACGAATAGTATATTCGGCCAGGAGTGTGGCTGAATAGCCAAATATTCGGCCAAACTATTTGGCTCGATTAACGCATGTACGAAAATTGGCGTGCAAACCGCATTATGGCGAGGACCCTGCTCTCTATTGGCCCGCTGTCACTACGCTTCGCCAATTGCGTTAATTCTTGGCAGTTGTAGCAGACAGACAAGAGCATCATGGAAGTATGTGATAAATGATGATATCAAATGTGGATAACAATGAAATGACCTACACATGTAAATAACGGAAAAAGAAGAGAGAAGGACCGCGAAGTGAAAATGTGAAAATAAATATGAAATTGAGTCAATAACATAATCGGACAAGTCGAGGCAGCTTATTGGCACGAAATTCGCGGCCGTCAATGCCAAACAATTGTCATAGACTTCGGAAAGCTAAATACTTGTAATGTAAGTCACTTAGTGTGCACGGGCGAAAGCCTGGGGTCGTTCGGGCTATCAATCTGTCTCGAATCTGTGAAATCATAACTGTGACTTATATCGACGTCCTATCTGTCTCTTTTCTCCGTTATCACCAGGCTGAGTCACGTAATTGTAAAATGGGAACTCTAGGACGGAAAAGTGACGAATCGAAAGTATCGTGAGCGCGTATTATGATGTATGCACAGGCATACATGGATTAGAGCGATAGAGGAAAGAGAAAGAGAAGAGCAAAGACGAGCGCTTAAAAAGAAGGATAGGCAAGGTCAGACCCTCAGATGTGTGCGACGATTCTCGAACGAATAGGTGTGTACGTGTGCTGATCTTTGTAATTATAAATTGTGAATACATGTGACTAATATTATTTTCTTTTTTATTTTGTGCATGTTACAAGTTATAAATAAATATAAACAAACAACACTAACTCGATAACATTAAATCTAAATACCAAAATGATTAATTTATTGTGTTTTTGTTATTTATTACTCCTGTTTTTAGGTATTCAGTATTCGGCCGAATAGTGATTAAATATTCGGTATTCGGCCGAATACCGAATAGTAACCAAATATTCGTTACATCACTAGTACAGAAGAATTATGGAAAGTTATAGAGAAAATTATTTTATTACTACTACTGAACAAAGGAAATTAGTCATAAAATAAAAATGATAAATTGTATGAAACCATGTCCTTTTCCGTATTTTTGACTTATTAAACACTAATTTTAGCACAGCCCGAAATGTGTACAAAAAAGATATACTGTATTAACTAAATAAAGATAACATGAAAACTTGCCATGTGTCTACAAAATACACTATAAAATTAATGTTTAATAAGTCAAAAATTGTATTTATTTAATACTTGATTGTTTCTTGTTCTTTTTTATGTTCATTGGGGAAAATGCACAAACTTTGTACAGAAATGTGTCTTAAATATTAAAGTCCATTCTCTTTGCCACACATGTGTTCCTGTATGATAAGTTTGACACAGCAATTTTGTATATTTAGTTATTTCTATACTTAATTTGCAAAATTGGACAGTTCATAAATATCTCCAATAGAATTAGTGAGTGACCAGTGAGTAAAGAGGTAAATTTCTTAGTATTTAAAGTGTTTAAAAATAAACATGAAGGTAATGCCATCTATAATGTATCCTACAAATGGATGTGTGAGAACCCGAACAGGGGTCGATTGAGGGGTCCGAATGAGGGGTGTCGATCGAAAATAAGGAGCTCCTTTTCAGACACTAAGGAAACGGATTAGGTGTCTCGATTGAACAATGCAATTGTTTTTTTCATAAATTTGTTAAACAATGGAAACGGATAAATTTGAGGAAAACGTGACGAGAGAGAGAGGAATCATATTCAGTCGCAACGTTGACCTCTCCCGCGCCCTTCATTAGGTTTTGAATTGTCACCAGGTGACTATGAGAGACCAATGGAGAGGCAACGATGATTAAGAAATCTATAAAACCGTGCGACTCAAGGGACAAAGGTTCTTGGTTCTTGGTGCTCCTCTTCAGGATTTTTGTGATCCTACTTATCAACAGCGACCGATTCGTCAACTCCTGTGACTTACTGTCGCTCTCTCGTGACGTCTTGATTTGCATCGATTTGCCTTTCACCAGAGACTTTCACCGAAGCTGTGCCGCACGCCCTGGGGCCGTCGATCTCAACGTACGACATCGAAGGACCAAACGGAGAAAGTTGGACCCTTGAAGTAACTTTTAATTTGTTCCCCGAGCTGTGTTACGTTGAAAATTTGAAGAACGTTGTAAGAATCTTTTGTTATATAATAAACGGGTTAAAGATGGTAAACCTGTCTCAGAAAGTCATTCTGTGCCCACATGACAGAAGGAACCGCTCGGCTGTCGAAAAACCTCACCCTAATCGGCTGACCTCACAGATGACTGGTGTTCAAAGAAAGAACAAAATGAAAATTCACCATGAACATTTTCAAACTCCCTTGTTTGAAAACATTTGTGGTGGATTTTCGTTTTGTTTTTTCTTTGAACACCAGTCATTGGTTCGTAGGATACATTGTTGACTATACTCTGGTGTTGTGTGTTGTTGTTTACTAGTAATGCCATCTTTTAGTTTCAATTTCATTAATTATTATTTTGAACTAAATTTAATTCAAAAATTATTATAATTATTAGTTAGTATAAGAAAGTAGTCTAACTTTCTAATATTATCTTTAGAAAAAATTATTTTATATTAATTATTAATAGTAAGCCAAATTATACTCTGAAAATTAATATGATTATTATAGAATATTTGGGCTTAGTTGTCTATGTATATCTACAAGTACAATGATCTGTTAACAGAAATGAAACAGAAAAAGCAATATTTTAATGCTTAAGATGGCAGCTTCTAAACTGCATAACTTATTATCTTACTTTCAATGACTACCCTGCAGGTATGGAGTATGTGGTAGAATAGGTTATACAGAGATTTTAGTTTTATTCTTGCAATTGTCTGCAGAATATATGCCATTTTGGGTTATCCTGAAAATATGAAAAACACAAATTTTCATTGTTAAAGCAAAAGCCTATATCAATAAATAATTATCATCACTGTTATTTTCATATACTTAATTAAACAACAAAACTCCAGATTAATATTCAAAATAAAATTTTTGTTTTACAACTTATTTCTATAAATTATAAAAATGCCAAATTAGAATTTTGATAATTTACTTTTTATTTTCAAAAATTTATTTCAGTGAACAATTTATATTTTTACTTTTATCATAAAAAGTTAATTTTATTACTAATAATAATCATTACTAATTTATTTATTTTTTAATTACATAATATTATAGAAATAATATAAAAATTTATATCAATTTGCTATTTTGCAAAATTTAAAGCTTAATTTTTGTTTGTATATCTCTGCAAATTAAAATTAAAGCCAATTTTAAATTCAAATCTATTCTACATCTTTCTTTTGTATTTAGCTGAGGATGGCCATATAAGTAGTTTAACATTTAAAAAGGAAAAATTTTAAAATAAATAATAATAATTTGAAACTTGGAAAAAGTACAGTAGAGCGTCGTTTATCCGAATCAATTGGGGACTGGGGTTGTTCGGATAACTTATTTTTCGGATAACCAATTATGTACGAAAAAAATACATTAACCTATCCCATCCTGAAATTTTTCTCCGTTGCGTGTCGCTTTGCGTTGAATTTTTGTCGATGTTAAGCCTAACGTAAACTTTTTTAAATAATAATCGCGGCTATTGTATCGTTAAAAATTATTTCTTTACTTTGTACAAACAAAATAAATATATTGAAAAATATAAAAACAATAAAAAATTATACTTCAGAAGTTAATTTAGTATCAAAACGTAAAATATTTGAGTAGCCCAAGACATAGCCAAAGATTGCAGCGCCACAGCACTAGCGAAAATTTAAATTTGCCAACTGGAATTCTTTCAGATAACCGACGTTTCAGATAACCAACTTTTGGATAAACGACGCTCTACTGTAGTTTGATTTTTGTAAATCATAACATAATGCCAAGCTTTATGTATTTTCATAAATTAAAACTAAAGTAATAAATCTTAAAATTTTTTGTAGATGTAGTTTAAGAAGTGACTGTGCAGAAGCTGCTCAAGATCCATTATATTGGCTATCATATAAAAGTGGAAAATGTACAACTATTACAAATGTGCATCCTGGTCAAATTCAACGGACTACTGCAAGAATTGTAAGTTTTAAAATTTTATTAAAATATTCCATTTCTATTTCTTTAGCATAATTTTTAATTTAATGGAATACTGTTTAATGTTTACTATGGTAAAACATTACTGGAAACTACAGTCGACCCCCCCTATAACACTGTTGATTTTTCCGTTTTACATGAATTCCGTGTTGTACAAGTCACTTAGATTTTACAAATATGTAAGCCGTTCACAGCCCGGCACATGTATTTGTAAAATCTAAGTGACTCATACAACATGGAATTCATATAAAACGGAATAATCAACAGTGTTATAGGGGGTCGACTGTATAGTACAGTGTGTGATTGGTTAACGAACAAATCAGATAATGAACACTTTCGCGAAAGATTTTTATGATCGGACAACGAACACATGTTCGGATAATGAACACTTCACTGAACAAACAAAAAGAAGCGACGTAAAATAATGAATACCAATTGGTCTTCCTTCGTCTTCAGACAACAATTTGAAACTTTTTGGAGCACGGGAGACGTCGACATTGACGTTCTACCCAGTATATACTGATCGGATAGCATCCCTCCGAACTTTGAAACTCTCCCTTGTAATTCCAGCCTTTTATATTTCTGACAGAAACAATTCTTTTACGTTTTCTTCTGAAAATGCAGATTTATGCCGATATCTTCTATTAAAAATCTTTTGAAAAAGTGATGTCAGAACAACAGTCTTCAAATGTCATCCAAACCAGGTTGAGGTTAATAGGCCCAGGGATCTCTACAATTACAATGCTATTAATTACTTCTGAAAAATCATGAAGAAGAGAGAAAAGCAATCGACATTAGACAGATTCTTTAACCCTCACAAATGGAAAAAACATGATTAATAAAAATGCAAGACCATGTATATATGTATTTTTGTTATTACATATGAATAAACGTAGTAAGAAAGTATATATTTTTTATTTTTTTGGTGGTCTCTAGAACAAATTAATCAAATTCCCATAGAAACCTATGGTAAATCGATAATCGGTTAACGAACAATTCGGATAGCGAACAAAGTCTTGGAATGGATTATGTTCATTAACCAATCACCCACTGTACTATAGTAATGTTTTACTATAATATATGAAGACTGTTAATGATTTTTAGAATATTAAACATTATGAAAGATTTTTAAAAACAGAATTTATTTTTTTTGTCTATTAATTTATTAAGATTAATTTAATTAAAAATTATAGTAATATATTGAAAGAGTTTTACAATATAAGATAATTAGTAATAACATCTGACAAAAGTGTATAGGGTGATTATAATTAAAGAGTAGGTGTGCAACATTCTATAAAAAGAACTATTGAGCAAATCTCAACCAAATTTGATATACATATCCTCAGTATGCAGTTTTGATTTTTGGAAAAAAATAATTGATACTATACTGACCTTTTGCATGTTTCGGCAATGTTGTTATATACATTAAGCAAATGTTTTCAGCTTTTTATTGAAAATTTTTAGCCGTAACTAGATGGAAGCCAGAGGTGGTTCCCCTGGTTCCCCTCTAGGTATGGGCCTATTTTTATACAAAGTAATGCACTCCCACATATCAAGCCTTGTTGCAATAGCATTTTTTACATGCGAGCATAATTAGCTGATCATATCCAACATCATGGCCTCATTGATCATCAGATCTGAACTCCTGCAACTTTTGGTTATGGGCTACCTAAAAAGGCTTTTTAGCCTCATTTATCAAGGCAATGTTTCCAACCTACTTGTCTTAAGAGAGAGAATTTCACAACATGTGCACATTATCACACAGATCAATTACAACTTGTTGCCGAGCGTGTTGTATAGCAAATGCAGTTTTTAGAGCATGGAGATGGAAGATAGCTATGTTTTTTATTTAATTGCCAGTTCCACTTATATAATCACATCTGTAATTGAAATAAAATTATTGTACACCATTTTTTAACTTCCAAAATTTGTTAGAAAACACATAATATGCACATTAAAGGGATGGTAGCTCTAAAATTGAAATAAATTAGCAGCTGAGTTTTGAAGTAAAATTTTTCTTGAGAATTGAAACCTCATACTCAGAACTGTATACCAAATTTCATTGAGATGTACTCAATAGTTCTCTCTACAGATAGCTCTGAACATTTCTTTAATTATGATCATCCATAATTAAAGAGCAAATGTTTAGAGCTATCTGTAGAGAGAACTATTGAGTATAAACTGCTATTACTATTTTTTTTAATGATACCTGTCCTCACTTTATAAAATAAAACATAAAGAATTTTTTCACATGACTGATTGTCAAAATAAAAAAATAATAAGTAAAATATAGCATTTTAATATTTTAGGAACCAGAATTGATTAAACAGCACAATGTCTGTCCACTATGCAAAATGATGCAAATTTGCATTCTTGATGAGTAATAGATTTTTCTTCGATATTTTCACAAATTTATTCTAGACTTGTTATTTTCAGTTTAGCTCTTTGAATGAATGCTGGAGTTGAATAAATGTGGCTGGAAATAGCAGTAGTTATCATTTTCTTCTACTACTATTGTCTACAATATGTAGTAATTGTCCCACTTATGTGAGATCCTGCAGGTGTTGAGACTTTAACACCTCTCCTTCCTTAATAAATGTAGATATCTTATCAAATTGTTTATATCTTGTAGAATTTCTGAACAGTTTCAAACTTATTGCATCAATTACTGTCAGAGAGAGGTATACACACCATCTGATTTAAGACAGGATCCTAAGATCATATTTGATCGGGATCGAATTCAGTGTTAAATTCATTGTCAATATCTAGCTTTCTCACAGTCTGAAAAGGTTTTCAATTTTTTCACCTAGAAACAGGTAAAAGCTCAATTGAGTTGCAAGGAAAACTATTCAAGACCAACCAGAATGTGATTGAGCCACCCAATCTGTAAAAATCCATGTTCTGAGGACATGGGGCTTGCTCTTGTTTTGTTCTGTGTGACTTGCTATTCTGCATTGTCCCTGATTACTTTTGTGTTCTTTGCCATCAGCAGCTCCTTCTAGTATAAACTATACAAAGATAGGTGTATGGTTCTCTTCTTCAAGAGTTTCCATTTCTTCTAGAGGCATGGGAATGCAACAGATTCAGGATTCTCTTCCTTCCTTGCAGGTACACTCCAGGATCTTTTCTTGTCTGCACTGACAGTGGTAAATGTATGAACCAGTTTGTGAATTTTGGTGACAGCAGATAGTGAGTGTAACTTTCTCAATAATGTATTCAATAAGATACTTCAGTCTTTCTCAATAAACAGTATTTTAAATTAAAAAAATGAGCCATCCTTTGCATTGACTGCTCTCACCCATATACTGTACATGACTTTCTTACACTCATGCCATGCAGTGAAAGCCTTTTTTGGACTTAAATTCAAAATTTAATGCATTTGTTCAATATCATACTCTGATGTCAAGTCATGTGACCTCTCATATATTTGCAAATCATTCAGGAGAAAGACTTTAATGTAATGAATTATTCAATGCTATATACAGAGTGGTACATATTATATACAGTGGTACCTCGGTATACGTCTGCTTTAGAATACGCCCAATTCGGAATACGTCCTGTTTTTTGTGCTGACATTTTTATGCTGACAAGGGTGCTTCCAAGTACATTCTACCTTACAGGAGTAATTATATTTTTTTTCTTTTTCCTTTTCGTATTTAATTTTGTTGTTTTAATTTTTTTAGTACATTTATCTCCATTTCTGATAAACACTTTAAATCTTTTCTCACTATGGGTGCAGTCACAACTGTTATTTCTTGTATTATGCATGCTCTGTTTCATGTATGGAACAGTGCTGTTGATTATTTGGATATAGCTCAGAGGTGTTGCTTGGATTTAACTAGATTTGCATGGAATAATATTGTGTACAGTGATAAACAACAGACAAATTATTTGTTTCAGTTGTATGCTACTTCAGAAAGTACTATGCATAAATAAGGAACAGCACCAAAATAAAATACAGTTTTTTTAAAACTTGGATGTAAACTCTTCAATTAGAAATGTTGGATAAAGAGGCAGGCTAAAATAACTGGTGAAAATAAACTGCTTCACTCTAACCTTAAAACAGCCCAAAATAACATCAAAAAGTGTAAATCTGGTTTGAGTTCATTGAGCCAAAATGCCATTATCCATTATATAGAAAATCTCACCAAAGTTTTGAGAGAATACAGGATTTACAATTGGAAACTAATATCAGTTTTAAAATCTAAATCACTGTTACATGTAAGAAGATGAATACTAGTAAGCTTTATGAAAACTGCCTTGCTGGTAGTTGCTCTGAATATGCAGTTACATTGGATGAGGCACACTATTACATGAACTACTATAATGGAGAAATGTGGATTTTCTACACTCAATGAAGTGCTCAAGTGCTGGATGTGTGGTTAATTTGCTGCAAGGAAAACTGTCCAATTAAGTTTAAAGTGGTAGTTGAGATGACAAGGTATGCATCCACTTTTGCAAGGGCCAATGTTAAGGTTTCTGCTCAGTACTGTATTGAGAATGTTCTCAAACATATTTAGAAGTAGAACCACCAAAGTTGTATCATGGTGAGCTTGTTTCATTATGACAAAGTTACATATCATACAGTCAATATAACGATCAACTATCTCCAAGATCTTCATATCCGGATATAAAATATATATCTAAGGAGCTCGTACACTTGAAAGCCCTTGACGTAAGTCCCATGATTTGTTTGTTTGTTTTGTTAGTTATGGCAACACAACACTTGAGTGATCTGCCTAGGGCAGGGGTCGGCAACCTTTTGAATCGGAAGAGCCAAAATTACAATTTACAACATTTCAAAGTTTTTAAAGAGCCACAAAATTTTTTCTTGCCAACAATAAATAGTACTCACATAAATAAAGTTTTTTGATTAAAAAAAAAACTAATCTATTTATTCATAAGAAAAATATCTATTTATTCATATATAAGTAGTGTTTTTCACAACAAATTAGATAATAGAAACATCCGATGACGGCGTCATT